ACTGCATCAGTTTGGATAGGCTATCGTGTAAGCTATATGATAATAGCGTTAATGTCCCGCCCTTTCTCGGTGAATATGGTGTGATAAAGCCTTGTCAGTTGCTATAACGACCTCATAAAGCCACCTCGTTCGCTGCGCTCACTTGGTGGCTTTATTCGGTGGTTACAGCAACTGACAAGGCTTTATCACACCATATTCACCGAGAAAGGGCGGGGCATTAACCCTTAGATATTTACCGATGCAACGAACTATGTTGATTCAACCGCAACACTTGCGCCTCTGTCTGGGTGCTTTATGTTATTTTCTGTGCATTTTCCAAAACCTTACCCCTGCATAGTTTGGGATTATCAGAATATCGACTATGAAAAGTTGTCATTTTTTTTTGCTTGGATTCTAAATGGCATGAAATCTATTCTTGTTCATCTGTTGACGATTCCGCAAATAGGTTATCGCAATTGATTCTTGAGGCAAAAGACCTGTGCGTTCCAAGTAAAACTATTTTAGTTAGGCCCAAGGACAAACCTTGGATGATCCGGGACATCCGTAATCTTATGAGACTGCGTGACAAACCTCACAAAGTTGCCAAACTTTCAAACTTCCCCACCAATTAGGAGGTTTATTGTAAAATTCGTAATAAACTTCCCACTGCTATTTCCCGAAGTAAATCCAACCACTATAGTCACCTTCTTAATGTATTAAATGAACCGTCCAGTCGTGGGAAAAAGTGTTGGCACATAGTTAAATATTTTCATAAACCGAAAGTTACTTCCACTATTCCCCCCCTAAAAGACGGTATTACATGTATTATTGATCCCACTGATAAGGAAATTTAAATTGTCCCGCTATGTCTTAAATACAATTTACAAATCTTTTATAAGATCATTGTTAGAGTATGCTGACATTGTCTGGCACGGGTGCACAGCTGAAGAATCCAGCCTAGTTGAGCGCATTCAATATCATTGCTCCCTCGTTGTGTCCGGTGCCGTCAAAGGGTCATCATACTCTTCAATTCGCCAAGAACTTGGCTGGGAAACTTTGTCCGACAGACGTCATATACCTCGTCTGCTGTTATCTCATAGTACAATTAATGGATTTGCACGCGAATGTCTTATTTCGTTAGTCCCGTCTATAATTCCCGTCTTGTGTCTATGCTCTGAGAAATAGTACAGATTTGAGAACTATAAACTGTAAATCAATTCGTTTTGGTAAGTCCTTTCTCCCTTATTCCATCTCTGGACGGAATAACCTAAATTGTATGTAATATTCGTACACTTAATTATTCTAAATTTCGGACTCACCTATTTCGATCTTTTCACCCCACGAGATATAATCATTTCAGTTTCGGTTCTCGTTTCTCCTGTGTTCTTCTTACTCGGCTTCGTATTTTCACCTGCAGCTTAAATTATATTAGTAATCTTTTCACAAGGGGTCTAATTCCTAGCCCTGCTTGTAGCTGCGGGTGCCAATATGAAACAGTTAGTAATACTCATTACCTTTTACGCTGCCCTTTACATAAATTCCACCGTTCAGAACTCCTCAGCAAACTTGCTGGGATCTCTGTTAACTTACACACTCTTTCAGATAAAGCAAAACAGCTTTTAATTTTGAACGGTTACCCGGTTTATTCTTTTCGAGTTAACTGTAACATTATGTCAACCGCACAAAAATATATTTTTTTGCAACAAAACGTTTTTAATTCTATTTGTGTCATTTTGGGTGGAGAATCTGGACTCTTGCTTCATCAATTCGACTGTCTGTTCTATTTTTTACATGTATTCTTGGTTAGTGTTTTGCATTCTTTAGTGATATTAGTTTTATTCGTATAAGTGGCGGCGCTAACATAAGTTACCTAACTTTAGCCCGTCGTCACTTTGTCCTGTGCCCTTGTTTTGTTTTTTGTCTGCTGAATGAAAAAAATCTTGTTGATTTTAGACCGTTTTCTTAAATAGCTTATTTCCAACAGATCTGTATATCAGCTTGTACATGTTTTGTACGGATTTTGCTCGTTTAACACGTCTCCCGATTGCAGGTGAGGCGTACTTTTCTCGGAACGCCCTGCACAGGTCAAATGTACAGAAGCACTTAGTTTGTGGTGACATCACAATGGAGTCTGACCTAGTTGTTTGCTCTGGGCCAATCATAACGCTAAATGATGACTCATGATCGAACCCGCACAACCGGACCTGCGGGTCTGCGCAAAGATCAGAATTGTGGAGAATCCTGTGGGATCCAGACCTGCGTCAAAGTTCCGCGGGGCTATCCACAGACTTCCCTCACTCTGTAGTCTTCTTTAGTGGGTAAAGCGTTCATTTTACATTGAAAATGAGCACGGAGAAGCTCACTATGGATAGTGATGGTTACTTCAGCCGTCGTCGCGGCCCCGGCCCCGGTCCCATCGCCTTCACCTCGCTGGTGCAACTCTTGACTGCGAGTATGTCCGTGATCATCATCGTCCTCGCCATCCAACAGGGGACACACTTGATCATAGAGGAAGTCTCAGTTCGGAAGAGCACAATTTCTGACTACCAGAAGATAGTCGCTGACCTCGAGAAGGAAGTGGCAGCCATTAAGGCACGACGAGAGGCCGACTTGACTCGGCTCGAAGCCCTGGAGGCAAAAACCAACAATGCGCAAGTAACTGGTGACATCAATTCTCGTCCTCAGGTAATGACAACTTAAAGCTAATTACAGCATAAGTTATTCAAATCAGAACCCCAATTGCATAATTAATGAGAAATATTGGAAAAGCATTCTTTGTTAAGATAAGACTGTTATTGGGTGAAAAATACGATCAACTTATTTCTAGAAATGAGGCTTTTTAAAAAATCAATGGGAAAACTGTATAAGTAGTCGTCAGTCGAGAGGGTTAACATCATTCGGCGAAGGTATGAGGTCGTGGAACTCTTGCCGATTCTTTTGAACATTTTGGGTATTCAGTAAATTACTTTTTGACACAAGAAGGATATTTCCCAAGTTTCGTCAGTGGGAAGTTTTAAGTTAATCACTACAAGGAATAGTATGTTAACCTGACATGTAAATATAGTACACAATGTAATTATAGTAAACGCATGACGACTAGGCCAGATCTCATAACTTGTTAACGTTAGACCGCAACATCTGTTATATAATAGTATGTTTATCTGAGGTGTAACTGACACTTTTAACTGATACCTGTTACTAATTGTTTATTTTCTTGTTGTTCTGCCTATACAGTCTAACAAATCAAATCAAATCTAGTATGTAATATGACTTGATCATACCATTTAGTAACGTTGACATTATTCGCGCATGCCAGGCGGAACCTGACAAAACCAGTGATGCCTCTAAATCTGTTGCCGAGTCGTACGCCAGTACCGGGAGTGCGGACGTCCCAGCACATCATCAAAGACAAAAGAGGGCGGCGAACTCTGTGACATGGCCGGCTGGGGCGGGCGGTAAGTCCAACTTCTTTATGAGTTGAAGCCAATTTGGCATCGATTATTGTTTCCAGAACCGTGCCTATCTAGTACTATACCTGGATTGCTTCTCTAAAGCGTCAGGTGTTCCAGATAGCATCCACATCTTCGATCAATGACTGACACTTCAGATTTATCCAG